GAGAAATATCAATCAAGTATGGGAGGAACACCCAGTTAATATTTAGGGACATCCAATATAGGGCTAGAAGGAAATCCAATGGATTTCTGCAGAATATCCTTAAGTTTCGAAGGGACGTCCATATTCATGTTCTTGAAAATGATTTTGGTATTTTTGTCTTCTTCACGTAATGAAACGTTAACCACACAAACGTTACCTACAGATGGTGTGTGTTGCTGTTTTACATTTGACGTCTTAAAACACGAAAAGCCTGCAATTACTTTTGCATTTGAGTCAAAACTGTAATCTATTTATTCAAAACCCTCGTATGTAAATTCCAATATTTTCTAAATCCCAATAAATAATCTATGTTTATATAAACATTCTATAGGTATTCTGTAATCTCCCATCCCCTATCAAGATAGCACTTTCAGATCAAAATTACTGAAGTTTGCCATGCAGTAACTAACTTTAACGGTATATTTAAATACTTCATAACATTGACATTTAATGTAAATTCAAAGATTAACACTAACATTAAATCAAAACTAAATAAAATCAATTAACAGTATGTATATTAAATAAATCAACATTAATTAGAAATAAATGAATACTACCATTTGTATTGAATTCACCACATAATTCAATCAACACACTATTGAATTAAGTTTATGTGTTTCTGATTGAGTACATTTCCTTAAAACAATTTAAAGAAATAGTTTTCCTGAGATTTCGATCACATTTTATCTAATTAAGGTCCACGTATACGTACATAATGTTGAGTAGTTATATGTGCACGGGGTAAATATATTGTATAGATTAGCCATATACTTCCTAAAATGGTTTCTATGCCCAAAAAAAACTAACTTGTTATTTTTCAATTAATATTTACCTGAAACAAAAAGAAAATCTAAAGTCAGTGTACTTTCTAGCTATAAAACTCGAGAGATCTGAAGACCACTACCCCGCTCTTTAGAAGGAAATCATATATTAGTGAACGCTTTTCAGCAAACGTACTTGAAAAACATGAATAATTATTGAGAACTTCTTGGAGAAGACTTATATATGCTTAAGCCTATTATCCAATCCTTTATAGGAATTCAATAAAATATCTTAAATAGAAATACCTATTGATAGTGATGTACATTAATTAGCACACAAGAGAAATCGCGAAATCTTGTTATATATAACTACATATATAAGATATTTCATTTAATTTCAGTATAAGATATCTTATATACTTTATACATACCCAAGACATCTAATATACTTTAATAAAATACGGGATCGACATTGCTTCTTATTGACATATGAAAGTTGGCATGCCATATAGATCTGTCCGGCATGTATAGGACGTGAACCACAACATATATATCATCTGATTGGTACGATAACATCTTACGAAACAAATTCGAAGTCAGTTTTCGATATGCTAAATGCTGTGTTCTCGTGTAAACTTGTACAGTGACTTTGTGACGCTGGTAGGACACTGTTATATTGAAAAATGAGGTTATATAGAAATCTGGAGAACTCGTTTTGTTAACCCGTCTTTTTCAATAATTCCTATATTTATTATGTCGTTTTCGTCTCCTCGCCAGGAGGGCTTCCAAACTGATATGAACCACGCTTGTCAGGGACAAGGAAAGAAAATATCCGAATCACGATAAGGCGTTCCGATGTTAAACTCATCAGGCGTTTATCCTGTACGAAGGGAAATAACTCTTGAACTAATACAAAAAGACATAGTAATATGTGAAACGACAATGCCAAACACTTATAGACCAGATCAGACAGGATGTCGAACTATACAGGTAGCTTTCCTAATGAATGGGATTTCGTCATTATTTAAATTATACAGCTAAAGGGTGTCTGAATACGCAGACGTCGGATTAGACAAGTTAAGACATTTGTTTATATCGACGTGAAGTGATTGGGTAGTGTAGTGAGGCTGCGACAGACCGACATTCTAAAGACAACTCGATTAATAAAAATACATGTTTAAGATAGTTGGGTTTAATTACTCTGTTACAAGTTTATAACAAAACAATCATCCGCTATAAGACATGACCCCGTGAGTGTTAGACTTTTTTGTAATTATCTGCAATTTCTCCGTCTGGGTCAATACTCCCAACCCCTCCCGACTCCAGGTTACATATCTACATTATTCCCGAATCCTGTCCTCTAAACTTCCGGTTCCCATCCCTACATTACTCCTGCACTTCGCCCTCCATATTCCCGGTTCCCATCCCTACATTACTCCCTAATGTTGCTTGTTTCAATCTCTCCATCATACACGAATCCTGCTCTCTTGACGCCCGGTTCCCATCCCTACATTACTCCCAACCCATGTCCTCCTGACGCCCGGTTCCCATCCCTACATTACTCCCAACCCATGTCCTCCTGACTCCCGGTTCCAGTTTCCTGCTCAAATATGACGCCTGCCCTCCTAATAACTTACGGTTCCCATCCCTACATTACTCCCGCATTTCAACTTCAAGACTCCCGATTCCAGTTTTCTACACTAACATGACTCTTGCCTTTCTGAATGTTTGTTTCCATCTCTTGAGTCCATCAATCATGACTCCTGTCCTCCAAACTCGCAATGTCTTTCCCTATATTACTCTCGATTCCTGCCCTTCTGACTTCCGGTTCCAATTTTCTACATTGATATGACTCGAGCCTGACTCCCGGTTACCATTCCCTACATCACTCCTGATTTTTGCCTGTTCCCATGGCCATCTCTCTATCGAACCCGAATCCTGTTCTCCTGACTTATGGTTCCAATTCCTAAATGCCTCCGCATTTTACCCTCCATACTCCCGGTACTAATTTCACAGTCACACGAATCACATACATGTAAGTATAACACAATTTAGAACAACATTATGCAAGTTTTGACGCTTTAAATTAAGAATTTCAGCAGCTTCATTGGTAACCTGTATATTATGACAGACAACAAAATAAAACGAAGGGCCCTAAGAACTGGTGACGGGATGTATAGTAGACATATCACGGTGTACAGGAGTTACTTATTTAAATTATAATTAAATTAAAAAGCTACTGTGAAAAGTTTTATTGCAAAGCCCGGAAACATTCTACGCATTATAAATTAATGAAATGATATAAAATAACAAAATACAACAAAAAATTAAAACATGATTTTAGATTTTTTTTATTTTTTTTATTTATTGAATTAAGATTATCAGAATCCAGCACTTCAGTTAAAATGATACCCGGGGAAGAACTTCCCGACGCAAGACCAACACAACTCATCACCGAAAGAACTTGACCATAACAATATTCAATCTGTAGTGTTTCTATATAAGATTCGCCTTTATAGCGGTATATCATTGGAGCTTAACCGGTTTCTGCCTCTACCGAGCATCACTGACCGTTTCCGTCCTTATAACACTTCCACCTGAAACAGGTCGGTATACCCTCTAGGCCAAGGTCATAAGTGTCACGTCGACCCTCCCGAGATTAAAAACATGGGATACTAAACAGTATAATATCGACTATAATTCGAACTATTTAACTATTATCAGACCTTCAAAGCATGAGAGTTATGCTTTCTGTGATATTTGATGTATTGTACTATATAATTGCATGTAATATTTTCAGCGATCTCATAACTTATATTTTAGATGTCATTTATGTTTAATTTATATTACTATGTAAACACTTACACATTTTACTAACATAGAGGACCTTGAGGGAGATTAGCCTTTTGGCTAAATCAGTTTTTTTTTAATCCTCAATAAATAAAGTTTATTATATTATTATTATTAATTCGAATTCAGCTTATGGATGGTTTTATTCACCATTTGGTTGGTATTCATTACAAAGAGAGGTGCATTTTTTAAATTGTCGAAAGTCAAAATTCCGAAATTACTGTTTCCTCTGTAAAAGAGAAGAAGAAGAAAAAGAAGAAGAAGAAAAAGAAGAAGAAGAAGAAAAGAAACACAGAAAAATAAAGAGAGACATACCTTACAATACATGTCAGTAAAATGATGCAGACCAAGACAATGTTTCGCACAACTGGAAATATATATATATATATATATATTATAGTATAGTATATCAATTCTATCTTCTTGTAATATGATGTATATGTACATGTAACTGTTCTGTTTCACTGTGTCTTGAAAAAGGAGCGGATCGCTCCGAAAATTTGACAACCTAAACTTGTCCACACTGTTGGAATTACTTCTTTGCCCCATATATATATCTTCTTCTTCTTCTTCCATATAATTGCCTCCTTCGTCTTATCAAAGATTATGCAATGTTTATAAACATTGAGTTTATATATATATATATAT